TTTAGAGTTAATTAGTTGATTCAGATTATTAGGTTAATAGCTCGTTTAGAGACCCTTTTCATGATATGCTAATTTTTTGAGACAGGAATTTGGGGTTTTCATGAGCTGTATGCCAAAATCATCAGTATTAAAACAATAAAAGACCTGGAATATTTCAGTTGGTGTGCAATGAATCTAAAATACATGAAAGTTTAATTTTTATCATTACATTATGGAAAATAATGAACTTTATCACAATATGCTATTTTTTTGAGAAGGACCTGTATTTATTAGATAATTTATTGCTCAAAGTACGGCAAGTCCATCAAAGCAGCATTTGCAGATGGCACAAACAAAGAAACATGTGGTTTGTGGTAATGGAGTGATTTTAACAGCTGTGAAATCATATTTCAAATGCATGCTACTGGTATCGAAAATGAACTCTTTCCCTGCCAAACATGGAATTTTTCAACACAGGCTCATTGAAAAACATATACCTGTGGCAAATTTTTAGCAAAACGCTAAATACGTACCAATACGTACATATCACTGCAGCTTCCAACCAAAATGAACACTAGAGGCAGTGAAACAGCAAGCACTTTTAATCGTTTTCATACACAATTATTACAGGGGCAGATTATGAATTAATAAATATTTGTTTTCACTCAGCTCCTTCCACAATTACGTTATGACCTCAAAACACTTTTTACCATATAGTGCATGATTTGTAAACAAATTTATTTTGGAGTTTTCATCACTTAAAGGGATAGTTCAATCAAAAATAAAAATTACCCCATGATTTACTCACCCTCAAGCCATAGGTGTATATGATATTCTTATTTCAGAAGAATACAATCGGAGTTATTTTTAAAAAATGCCCTGGCTCTTCCAAACTTTATAATGGCAGTGAATGGCCGTTTATGTTTTGAAGTCCATCAAAGTGCATCTATCCATCATAAAAGTAATCTACACGGCTCCCGGGGGGTTAACAAAGGCCTTCTGAAGCGAAGCGATGCGTTCGTGTAAGAAAAATATCCATATTTAAAACTTTATCGGTTGAAATAACTAGCAGACGCATCGATTGACGGTGGAAGAGTAACTATAGAAAGAGCTCAAAAACAAGAGTTCAAAAACAAGCTAATTACGATTGCGTTTTTGTGTCACATTTGCTTTTCTTAACACTATCGGGATGCCACTTTTGAATGCCATTGTGTATGAATATACATGAAAGGATTTCGAAAATATATTTAATGTTTATTCTCATAAGTGGCACCACACAGTATATTATATTGTGGTTTATTAAAACATCTGAAACATATGAATATCTAAACATGCAATATATCAAAAGAAAGAACTGACCCTTTTGTCAATTAAAGGCTGTTTATTTGATTCACCTTCGTCATGCGATTCATACACACAACCAACCCATAACACACGGCTGTTTTCAACATTCATAAATAAATAAAAAATCTTGAGCACCAAATCAACATATTATTATGATTTCTGAAGGTTCATGTGACACTGAAGACTGGAGTAATGATGGTGAAAATTCAGCTTTGCCATCGTAGGAATAAATTGCATTAAAGATGTATAAAAAAAATGTTTTAAAGTTATTTAAAATTGTAATAATATTTCTGTATAACTGTATTAATTATCAAATAGCCTAAATGCAGCCTTGGTGAGCATAAGAGACAAAAACATAAAAAATCTTACCAACCCCAAATTTTTGAAAAGTATAGTGTGTTTCTTCTTCGTTTTCTTTTTAAGAAAAAAAACAAAAACATTTAAAGTTGAAGCATTTATTTAAAGCAATTTTAAAAAATACTATTTTACCTACTGGAAATGATTTAATTAAAGTCATGATGTTTGTTTGCCTTCACAGAAAGATTACACCGACAATGCGTATTTCTACTGCAGTCGCCTTTACGTTTCTAAATGATTTCCCAGGAGAAGCCTGAAACTCCAGTGTGTTTATTTCACACCAGCCCTCCAACATGATCTATAGTTGCAGTTTATGTCAAAAATAAACTGGAACTTTTATCTCTCTAGATTTACTGTAAATAAGTTACTGTTAAAAATTGTTGTAATTAATACATTTCAGTGTGTATGTAGTAAAATAGGGTTAAATCAAGCCCTACACCACTGCCTTCTCTCCCATCAGTCTTTGGGGCTCTAGTGCATTTCCCTGATGCCCGGACACACATAATTAAGAATGAAGTTGTCAGAATGATGTAGATCCTTCCTCTCTGTGTGTGTGTATGTGTGTGTTCATGTTCATGTTCATGTAAATTAAGGAGCTCTGCCTCTGATCCGACCAGCTAATGTCTAGATTGGATGTACCAGCATGATCAAGAAATTATTACTGAAGTCTATTGGGGAGCATTGTATGTTTGCAGTGAATCATGTTCATTTGACAGATGTCTCAGGCTGTGCTCGGGCTGTGCAGAGCTGTCTCTCAGTGAACAGTATAGTTAGAAAGTGGCAATGTGGCAGTCATTTTGGGTTCTGCTTCATTGAAAAGCTGACGCATGTTTCCTTTCAAAATCCCGGAACATTGTTGAGGTTTTGAGAGGTTTTTCTTTTGTGCGGTTTCCTTTTGTTCAGGTAAATTTCATGCCCAGTTGCTCTGCAGGAATTGCCTTTAGTTTGTTTGTTTATAAATAGAGATTGTAATGATTTTTTTTTTTTTCTAGAAGAAAAGGAGGTTCATGGCCGGTGCGGCTACAGACAGAAAAGGACCAATCGCATGGGGCAATGTTTTCTGTCTCAGTAATTTAACAAAACAAGAAACGGAGCAGAGGTCTATAGATGCACAACAAATGTATGTTTAGTTTTTTGGGGGGTTTTTTGTCAGGCTACACTAAAACACAATTTGATGTATGATTTCCTTTGAAACAATTTTCACCCAGAAATTGCTAGTAAATATTACAAATAGTTATAAAGAAATGGCAAGTAACACATTTAATTAAGTGTAAATATTTTTAAAGACTGAAATCGTATTTTCTTGTAAAACACTCCAATAATCTTTATTAAATCATTGAAAAATGATTGGAGTGTTACGGTTCCTTTGAAGATGCTGAAATCCATACGATTTTAAGAGGATTTCTTTGCTGAAGAACTTAATGTATATCTGATTTAACTATGCACAAACTACAGTAACCTTCCATCAACATCAGTAACCTTCATGTTCTTGCATTTGAATGCATTTGCCTGTCTTACATTGCATTCAAGGTGTACGTTTTGTCCGTTCTTGCATTCCCTGGGAATCTAACCCTCTACTTATTGAGATACAGGAATACGAGCTGTTGAATGCCGTGTCTCCATATTTAAACAATTAAAAAATATATATTTTCTACTTGCCATTGCTGTTCAGTAATGAGGGAAGGGACCTTATTCTCATTCTAGAAAGTATTTGATTGGACAAAAATATTTTTGGTCCGAGCTTCTACGTCTTTTACTGTTTGTACCATTTTAACTGTCACCGTCCCACAGGTGGGACGTTTGCCATTATATTTTTAAAACAATAATATCTTAGTAAAAACCTTAGTAATATTGTAATATTGAGTATATTGACAAGTAATATTGACAAACTATATATCATTTGAAAGATTACAATCTCTAGTTTCCATATTTGGTGATTGATTTTCAAAATAAATTACAAAGGAGCCGTAATTTATCAATTTGCAACAAGAATATTTTCATACTCCTATAAGGCGTGTTCAGACCTTTATTTTGAAATAGCAATGAACATGAAAAATCATGAAAAAAATTGTAGAAACCTAGTTTGTTTTCATGCCAAGAGTTCAAAAGATAGCATCCATTCAATTATTTTTTAAAAAAAAGGTCTGAAAATGTTTTAAATATAAAGAAAAAATGATAAATTCACCATTTGTGATGTAGCAGCGAGCTATGACGCACATGCGTGTTCTTTGTATGTGTTTATTAGAGGTTGAATTCATATCAAAATCTGCCAAACTTCCCATACTACTTCTGAATAGGATCTCTACTTCATAAATTGTATGAAAATTCTGGAAATAATGGTTCATATCACTCAAAACACATATGGAAATGGAGGCGCCCTTATATGGGCAGTAATGGAGTCTGGTTGTGACCTAGTGAAAAAGTTCGGTACTGCGCCCAAACAAAATCTTACTGAAAGCTCATTTTTTGAGATATCAACCTAAAATTTGAAACACAACTTGTTCAGATTTTTGGCTTTGGTTTTTCTGCAGTTTTAGAGTAGCCCAGGTTTTGAAAATATATATTTTATATAAAATATGAATAATATTTTTTTTTACATTGTACATTTCCATAAACTCAAACTTCTATAACTTTTTTTCTGTTTCACTTAATTTATTTCACTTCTACATAAATCTACCAAATGTCTTCTTTAAAACAAGACCAACCTTACGTCTATATTCCAAAGCATTCTTGAATTACAACCATTTATGTTCGAAATGTGCATTTTCATGTCTATTCAAAAAAAAAGGGGGGTGACAGTTAACAGGTTAAAGGTTGGTTAAACACTTATTTGTTTTCTCTGGTCTTTTAATATGTATGGTATTGTTATATTGTGTATCATTTTATGTACAGCACTTGGCTCTACTGAGTAGCCTAGTTTAAAAGTACTTTATAAATAAATGAAATGAAAAAGAAAAAAAGTCATGTAAGCAAGATTGTAATTGTGCACATCTGCTAAAAGATAATTCTGTCATATAGTTGGCCTCAAAGCTATAAAAGCCACATTTTGATATCATATTTAAACCTGTGCTGTTTTTGGCCCTCGCCATTAGCAGTAGTAGGTGATGTAAAGATTTTGCCCTTGCTAAAGAACCTTTTTTCGTATTAGTGAAAAGGCCAACAATGGCTCTTCTGTCAAATGAGGTGAGGTGGTTTATATTTCTCCACATTGCTTGAAAATTCTTCTAAAAGCTTGTAGAGAGACGAATATGAGATTCTGGGGTGCTTTTACATGTGTCACTGTAATTGAAGCGGTGTCCTGGTTTCTTTTTTTCATTCAGGTATTCAGTTCTTCACAATGGAAACAACATTGAACAGGAGAAACTGTCAATACAGAACGACACAGAGTCCCAGGAGTCATGTTTCTGACACAGGCCACACTCTCATGAGGACCATCACTGGAAGGTGCCATTTCTTACCGCCCTGCCTGCAGCTCAGACACCACCGGAGCATTTCAGGACTTGAGGACTGGGAGCTGGACTGAACTGTTTGCTCAAAGAGCTGCTGAACAATGAAGGAAAGAACAATGTTGCCAAAAGTCTATATTTTAGGATATGAATTTCCATTGCAAAGGAATGTTGGTAAGTTGTTGTTTTTTCCCCCCAAATGTGTTTATTTCCTTTTTGGTCCTCCTGGGAATATTATTTCCAAACCAAAAATACATCTTTCATTAGCTTTAGAGTCAGGATAACACTTCCCGAAAGGTACGGCACAAACGCTAAATAAAGATTTATTTTTGTTCTATAAATAAAAAAATAAAGATTCACATCACAGTATTAAGAGGTAGAGCTGGGAGCATTGCAGGAGTGATTTCTCAATTTTTCCCCGCAAAATTATATATATATCGCATCTGACAAAAGTTGGAGTTTATATAATATATGTGTATGTACATATATATTCACATATATTATATAAACACAAACTTTTATGTCAGATGCAATTAATCGTGATTAAACGATAATATATACAGTATATCCTTTTATTCTTTAATATATATATATATATATCTTTCAGTGAATACGGTCTATTTCAAAGGCACAGCATAAAATTCCTCAAAATGATTTGATAGGAAATTAGCTCTTTTTTCCAGCCTTGAAATCGGTTTGATGAAAACATACTATCTAATTTTTTGGATCATTTTCATATTGTGAACTGAAATCTCATTTATGTACTTAAGACTTCTAAAGCTCTTTGGGGAATGAGATGCACTGGTCACAAAGTTGTGCTCTGAGCTCAGATCCGCGGGTGACCGTTCTCAGTCAGGTCAGCTCTGTGCTTCGCATAAATGCTTCCATTTCCACAACGATTTCCGTTACGAGGATCTCCTCTGACGTGATTCACCGGCATAAACAGCGCAGTGATTTTCTGAGAGTGTTAAAACTATGTGATGCCTGCTGACTCTGCCTGTTACTGAGAATGTGTCAGGTCACTCCAAACAAAACCTTTGGTGACAGCAACCAGGGCCAGTTCTCCCAGATACCGTGTCTTAAACTGTTTTGAAGATGACCGAAGATGACCATCGGTTGCTGCAAGGATAAAATGGTTTTAGGAAAGGAAATAGCCTGAAGTTGTTCTTCCAAAAGTACTTGAAGGGATAGTTCGCCAAAAAGTGGGAATTCATTATTTATTCACCCTCAAGTTATTTCAAACCATACGGGCTTCTGGGTTTTTTGTGGAACACAAAAAGGATGTCAATAGCCATGTTTCCATCCACTTGTCAATCGAATTATCTCAAGTCCGGTAAAAAACCTCATGCGAATAAAGCTGGTGAAAGTGTGTTTCCATCAAACAGCTTTAAAGCGGATAAAAACCTGTGCGTAATGACGTCGCATGCTGTTTTGCGATCAAATTGGTATATCGAATTGATTTGAGACATGTTAAGGTGTTTCCATTCATTTTCTCACCGAATTGCACAACATTCAAGCCAACATTTGCGAACAAAGATTTACTAGGCAAAATGGATCGCACCATAATAACGTTTCCATCCGCCTTTATCGCATAAGCCGTATATCGATCAAGATTAAATCCGATGAGACCGAACGTATTTCATTTGAGTCGATATTCATGAAATTCAATCGAATTTTACTGTTTCCATAAGGCATTTTTTCATTCGATATCACTTAATTCGGATAAAAACGTTTGGATGGATACATGGCTTATGTTGCAAAACGCCAGTAATTCAAAGGGAATAACAACTTAAGGTGCAGTCACATTTACCGACGTTCAGCTCATTTTTCAGTCATTTCGATAGAAATCAATGCGATCGAGAATTCCCCACGCAGATTTCGCAACAGTCGCAAATTCACCGCGTTGACCAACAGAAAGCTTGGTACTTGGTTTGAAAGGGACTTCTGTGTGAGTTGTGCTTCATACATCTCTACACTATTGACAATAGACTTGCTTTTTTGCCTGAAATATTTAGGCCAAATTTCTCTAGTGGAAATATGTTAATGGAAATAAGAGGAAATTCTCTACTCATGTTTCACAGAAGAAATTAAAGTAATTTACTGCTGGCAAAATTGGCTTTCAGTAATATTTGGCTGCCTATACAGTCGAAAGGCGAAAAATTTAAATCAGTGCAACCTGACTAGAGAAAACAGAGAAAAAAGGGCCGTTGTCTTCCCTTTTGTCTAATAGGTAGGAAAACTTCAACACCCATAATGCACTGGGCATGTTGCCGTCCAAGGTTACTTCCACCAGTATGCTGTGGATACGCTTACCAGAGTAATACCACTTGTTGACTTTTGTGAGTTACTTTAGCTTTCAAGTGAAGGATTCAGTGCGTTGTAGGCAGTGGCTAAAGGCTGTAAAAGAATCGTAAATACGGAGCGAATGGCGCAATGGAAAATCGGAAAAAACTCTGTGTTTTTAGTCAAACTGGATGCCATTCTGTCAGTTCCATCCAACCCCCCGAAGAAAAACGCTGTCACGTATATACTATATACTGTATATATACAATAACCGTTTGGTTAATAACCCTCTGTCAATCCAACTGTCCGTGGGCGGGGATACAAAAATGCACAAGTATAGACAAAAGTCTCATCATCTGACCAACTTTTGCTGACAAATAAATGTGAATTTCTCGGTCCAGGTAACACGGAGAATGAGTAAATATTGTTAATTTACATATACTACTGGCAACAATATAAAGCGGGTTGAAAATCAGCGAAGTTACATACAGCCAATACAGGTTTGGAGCGACATGATGTTGAGTAAATGATGACAGAATTTTCATTTGTGGGTGAACTATCCCTTTAAGAGTACGTGATGTGAACGCTTCCAGGCATCAGGAGAGGAAATACAGCTTCTTCATTTTTTTTCATGGTGGAAAAATAAGTATTTTTGTTCCTTGACATTTATAACTAAAACCTCTCAAAGCAGTGATGTGCCATAATAAAGCTCTCTTCCAGAGCTGAGGACCCCAATAAACATCAAACTTGCTCCTAGGAGAGCCTCGATATAGCAGAAGTGACCCAGAACAATCTCCATCCCTCATTTCAGCATTTGCCAGTCTGCTGAAACCATGCCTCTACCGAAAATGAATTACCTTTGGGAACACCAATTGTTTGAATCGATCTAAAAGATGTAAATATTTTTAAATAATTACATTTATGTGTCAGCCAGTTTCATCAGAAAAGCAGGTTTGGTTTGATTTGCTCATTTGCAGGGATGAACAGGCAGTGTAACATGTGCAACACTAAAAATATCAAACATTGTACAGCTCAGCACTGTCCTCGTGCATTAGTGTCCTGTTTATTTTAAAATGATGACCTCTCCTGCAAATAAAGCACTTGTAGCACTTTTATAATATGAAGATTATTCATCCACAAGTCATTCAGTATTCTGGTCACTAATATGTTGAAAGTCGAGGAATGAGTTTGACTTGCGTGATCAGTTTTCATAAACGCGGCATGGTGACGTGATGATGGAACAAATAAGACACACTGAGATTCGGTCAACCAGTGGAACCAGTCTATTATGGCTTTATTTGTTTGAATGCGAACAGAGCTACATTACCCAGCTTGAGAGAATGGCTTTCTTTTCTCCTCTTCTCATGTTTTTATCAAGCGATATTTCATTTCTAAAGGTAGAGTTTAGTTTGATTTTACTGTACATAGGAGTATATTTTTATGCAAAAGATTTGATAGTGGTCCGTGAGTTCCTTTTAAATGCTTTAGTCGAATGCGTTTCTTCTTCCAGTCTGGTGTATCTGCAAAATGCTGACCATGAATCTACAGTGTCATTCAAAGCAATGTCCAAGTACGCTGTATGCTAGGCTACTTGTTTTTGTTTTTTTACAATCAAATATGTACATGGTCGTGCCTTCACAGGATGTACAGAGCATTGTGATTCGCAGTGAAACTGTGCAAGTAAAACACCAATAAATGCTGGTTGTGGTTGAAAATAGTCCTTTGTAAGAGGTTATAATGTACAATCAAAGGATTTCCCCAGCCAACTGCAGGGCTTTGATGAGTTATAAAGTCCAAATTATTGATTTCATTTCATTAGTACACTTTCGATTATGTAGCACCCTTTGATTCAAAGCTTATTTAACAATAAGCGTTTTTTTGTTGTTTTTTTTGTTGGTGACAGCGGTGAACAGCTTGCACAATTTCCTTTCTTTGGATGTCATTATGTTGTTTAAAGATGGAGATTTGGTGATGTTTGAAGCTTAGGAACCATGACCGTGAGCTGAAAAAGATTTCGCTCGAGTTATGAAAAGTAGCACCGATGGATATGTAAGGATTAACACTACTATATGAGCCATGAGTTATTGCTTCTAAATGAGCGGGCCAAAAGATGCGTGTCAGATATGACATAAATAACATTCAGAACCTTCTCCCCAAACCTTCAGGGTAGTCATTCCAATCAGGATTTCATCGGAAATAATTCCCTGGCCGGCAACCTCACATGTGAAGCGTAATCGAACACCTCAGAGCCCTGAAGGCAGAAGTGCTAAGCATGAATGTGTTGTGAATCTCCCAAGAAGTTGTAGAACTTTTGTAAACTCAGTATTTATTTCGGTGGATTTAAGATTGATATTTTCATGTAAGGCTTCTCTTTCAGGGAGCTATGTGTATTACTTTTTCTGTTGCTATGTGACAGCTCTAAATAAAATGATAATTAATACGAGATGTTATTAATCCTGTGTTTTGTGTTTTCTTGAATATCCTCATTCTCTCTGTCATACCCCATTAAGATGCTTACATTCTCCACCTTTCTTGTTGAGAGATGGAAGCCCAGCATTTAATAATTCATCAATGTGAAAAACAACAGACTGGCAGTAATGAGGTGCAGCAGACTGCTCAAGTTTACTCCCAACAGAGCGTACAGCTCCACACTCACCTACCCATGCCAGAGCTCGTTTCCCTTTACCAATTTGATGGACCATAAACTGCTTTAAAAGCTCTCCCCATGCTCTCCTGAGTCACGTTCATTGAACTCTCACCGTGGCATTATGGCGTCTATGTATATTTTTAAGAGCATGCGTCAACGTTTCCAAGTCGGTGTGCTGTCAAATTTAAATTGGGTGCAAGAAGCTTTCGGACTCGTAGAACTTTTCTCAGACTTTGACGAAGTAATAGTGACGCAGTCGGGTCGATAACTCAAGCGTGGTCTTAAAAACATCATCGCGGCCATCATCACTAAATCCGTGCGACCCGTGCTTTGCGGTTGATCACGGGAGCCATACTGAGGGAGTTATCTGAAGGGCTGAGGAATGTCTTTTCCCCTGATTGCATTTTGGAGTGACTTGCTGAGTTAAGTGCTCCCTCATCAGCCTTGGAGAACAGACTTTTTGCGTTTTTTTTTTTTAGGTGAAATTCTCAAAATGCTTCATTTACACAACTCAAATGTCAAGTGTGATAATGGCCTTTGTGCTTGGTGAGCTCTGGCTTAATCAAAGTCTAAGCGGAGCGCCGGCCGACCGGCCTGTGGGAAATCGAACATAGCAATTAGCACTCAAACACACAGCCTAGCAATTCCGTGTGAAGCTCTCAGTTTGCTTTTCAGCTCTTCAATTTTTAATGCAACTTAGCTATGAGGTTATTTTGCTTATTTTCCTCCCGCTTAATGTGCTTGTGGGACCTCTGCTCATTCGCGTTGGCCTTTTTGCATATTTGAAGCTTTCGTGTCCCTCGTGGGATGCTAATAATGAATCTAACCTTTAAATGCGGGGAGAAATTTAGGCCTTAAGCCCGAGTTTTAAATCTGACGTCTTGCACTGACTGAAGAGTTGAAAAAGTCACCGGAGGTAGACTGAGGTGTGTTGAGAAGCCCTGTAATGAGATGATTTACAAAGGAATGTCGACGGTTAGCCTTGTTTTAGGCAAACTACATGCGGGCGGACTTAAAGGACTTTTCATATGAGTATTGCATGCTTTTCAGTCCTTTTGGGATAAAAGCGGTATTTCCCCTAAGAGTAACTCATAAGGCTTACGCAGCAAGGCACGCAGGCAATGGAAACTGAATAGGTGGTTGTTATCCTCTCAAAGGTTTATAACTTTGACCTGAGCTTGAAATGCTTTCAGATTCTGTGAGACACAGCGGTTTTTCTTCATATCTCGCTTTTATGGGGCTGCTGTTTGATACATCAAATGGTGCTTTTCTTTTCTGTCTTGCCCAGGCCGCATCAGTCACTGGAAAGACATCAGTTCATACAGCACACACTTTCGGTGCTGGAAAACTGTTCACAAACATGTGTACCTTAAACGTGCGCATAAGCAGCAATAAGCAAATCGTGAGAATGAAAAGGGGAGAGAAAAAGTGAAAAATCTTCACATTTATCCCGAAATATCTCTGAAAATGTGGAATGCACACCATCAATTTTGCAAGTAAAGTGGCCTTCTCCTGGGAAGTGGCTTTCAAAGCTGTTCTCACGCTGATTTCTAACCTAATGCACAGTATTTATTTATTTAATTGATTTTCCATGAGAGAGACTTACAGTAAGTCACTTACGGCGGATGAGTCCTTCAGACTGCTGGGTAATAAAGATCAAAGCAGGGATGTAACCGAATGTTCAAGACTGGAGGGAACAAATCTATGAATTTAAGAATCATAGAGAAGCACATATTGATGGACCGCTTTTCTAAATATGGCGGGACAGGAGTCTGGATTTTTGCTTTACTTTTTGGGGGAGGGATGTAAAAGGTTCATAAATGTGATATTGAACTTGACATAAAGTTAGATGTTGAATTGCTGTACTAACTGTTATGTTTATAAGTGCTCTGTCATTTGCAAGGTTGAGTCAAAAAATTGTTACCTATTCATTCAGTCCCACTGCCTCTATTTTGAATATTCATTATCTTTCTTTTTAGTCACTTTTTAGTTGATAGAACAAGTCAATAATCACCATCATAAATATAGTTTAAAGTTGACTCTGTTGAAGTGGAAACCTGGGATGAACTCCTAGGCGGCACAATCAGTCATTATGTATAATGAATGAATTTATCCATGAATATGCATATAAACATGACATCAGATAAACAAAATTAATTTTATAAAGAAGACCGAGAGATTATGCATGTCCCAGATCTGCAGAAAGAGATGGGATGAAGGGGTAACTCTTTACAATAAAGTTCATTATAGTTAACTTAGTTAATATGAACTAAGAATGAGCAATACTTCTTCAGCATTTATTAATCTTAGTTAATATTAATTTCAACATTTACTAATAGGCTATTATTAAAATCAAAGGTTGTATTTGTTAACATTAGTAATGCACTGTGTGTGAACTAACATGAACAAACAATGAACAGCTGTATTTTTATAACATTATAAGATTAATAAATACTGTAACAAATGTATTGCTCATTATTAGTTCATGTTAGTTAATACATTTAACAAATGTTAACTATGAACCTTATTAAGTGTTACCGATGATGAAGGATAGACCCGTTTAGTCCTCTCCACCTGATTTTTTTCACAAAAGTGCAGATGAGAAGAACTACTTGCATGTCAAATGTTTGTATACATTTTGTACCATTAGATGTTTTATGTAGCCTGCATTACTGTACATTCTGCAACCTTCCTACCTTCCAGAATTTAAGTGAACCCCTTCAATACTGTTTAAAAGCATCACAGGACGGACCTTATAGGATGGGTAAATCAATGAGAAAGTGTGCAGAGCTGCATATATCTTAACATAGAGTGGCCAATTTAAAAGTATTCTCAAAAACTAACCGAACTTTATACGTAATATCATATGTCATCACCTGACCGCTATATTATAAAGTGTTACACTGCCCTCTGCTGGTTCAGCCTACGTGATGACTTCAAGTTCAGTAACAGAGGCTTTACAAGAAACATGACAGATTATCAATATAAAACATCATTTCAAATAAACAAACATGCAAATAATATATATGTTTTATTGTGTATGATAAGGTAACTTATGGTTAACCAATTAACAGGTTTTTAATGTAGCATTAATTTTTCTTTTCAGTTCAAATTACTGACATTTTTACATCTCAGATGATCTCAAGATGACAGTATTTGCTTTCTAACCCCTAATAATAAACATCCTGGGAGTGAAACCGCTCTAATTATTTTACACTTGGATCAATAAAATATAAAAGTCTCACACATGCATCAATAATTATCTTAATGTATAGATGTCGCATTAATTGGCTTGTACTTTAGACATTGTATTGTCTGATATTGTGGCAATTTACTTGTCCTTACAGTTTGGGTCAATGATGTAAAAGGTCAGCAGAGAATACAAAGTTCAAAGTAGAGTAAAAGGTCAGCATTAGAGTGAAATGTGTCATTTTAAAAAAGCACATGCAGGCAAAGTTCAAGGAACATTAAGCAATGTTTTTTTTTTTTAAACTCTCTAGGATATAGTGTATGGAATTTAACCCTTATAATGTTTCATATAGACAGTGTTTGAAATGTATATGAGGATATGATTCATGAATGTTAATCCTCCTAATCCATTGTTATTTTACTATTATTTGTATAGGCTACTATTAATTTTTGTTTTAGGCCTACATCATTTCATCTTTTTTCATCATTATTCCTGTAATAATGCACTTACCACAGGTTGTTCTAATGGGATTGTTCATGCACTTGAGATGCAGTATGAGATACTTTGAATAAAAAGTGTCTGGTAAATAGTATGTAACTAAGAAATTTCAGGGCCTGTAAATTGATTGTGCCATTTAGAAACCTTTTGTATGGCCTTTCCATCCTCGTTAATAAGGGTATACGTCATAACTACCTTGAATGCAATCCGGTTTGTAGTGACTGCAAAAAAAAAAAAAAAAAAAAAAAAAAAAAAAAGGTCCTGCAGAAAACCAAATCTTTGCATTTGCAGATATCAGGTAAAGTGGGTCTAATACATTTCACACTGGCGTGCTCTTTAAATACCAGGAGCCAATCATATTTAAACAATCATGAATAATTACCCCAAATGTGCAATGTGCTGTTTTCGTTGGCCTGACATCACTGTGTGGTGGGCGTGGTCAAGCTTCAACAAACGATCGCAACAAGCACATGGTAAGACAAATGCTCTGCCTAAAATAATTTTCATGAAAATAGCAATAATTCATAAAATATTGCATTGTGTGCTTTTCTTTCAAAATAATGATTTAATGGACTATTTAACAAAAAAAGTCGCATAATATTATTTGTAAGGATGTTTAGAGTAGTGACCCATTTAGCTTAGCTTAGGCGTTTGGTAAAGTGGGACATTAGCTGTCTATTAATGTGGGACACTTGAAAATATGATCGTTCGTCATCCTACATGACCAATTATGTCACAAGCCCGATGTTTTCTAATAGTCCCACTGTAGCAATGCTAGGTGAAACCGGATGCTAATATGATATCTAATGTTTATCTTACACTGGTTGAAGTTTGAATTTGAACATATAAATTGCAGCTTTATCTGGAAGCAGTCTCGTCACATTACAATATGAGACTGTTTGGGGCAATTATTATAACAATTGTTTTGATATAAAATACTAAATGTATGACTTTTAAATGTCTAAAATCTATATAAAGGGAAAATGTTTCATTAACATGTCTGATTGACATCTTTACATGATTGTATTGTTGTCATTATAATGAATGTGTCAGCATACTGTGCCAGTAAAACCATCAAATGATCTATCAAAATCGCACTAACACATATTCTTACCTTCTAGGTATAACTAGAGTAAGAAATTGTTTAGAAACATACAATACACTGTGTGTATACTGCATATATATAGCCTCTATATATATATAGATAGATAGATAGATAGATAGATACTGTGTGTATACTATATGTGCTAATGAATAAATTAATTGGAGTAGTCGGGCCAGAATATTAGACCTTATTCAACAACATTCTGGCTTTTATCTTTTTATAGAAAAATGGCACCTGACCCAAAGAAGTCAGGAAAACTGCAGAGAAAACAGCAAGATGAAGGAGAGCATAAAGGAAGAAAAGGGCTGAAGATGAATCAGTGGAGAGAGGACCAAATGAAAGCTGCAATAGAGGAATATAAAGAGCAGGTCGGGTCAGGGAGGCCTGCGCTGCGATTGCTCGCAAGGAAGTGGAACGTGCCAAAAACAACCCTTCAAAGACGCGTGAAAGGGCTTGTTGAGGGATCGGAGCATGCGTCTGGAAGAAAGCCATTCATCCCTGTTGAATCTGAGCAGGAGTTAGTGCGTCTTCTCACCTTGCTTTCACAGAGAGGCTTCCCGTTGAGGAGGTCTGATGTTCAGTCTCTTGCTTTTGAGTTTGCCAAGATAAATGGCATCCGTGGGTTTTCAGAAGAGAAGCAAAAGGCGGGCTATCACTGGTACGAGGGCTTTATAAAGCGAAACCCAGGGCTGAAAATAAAGAAACCAGGGGCCATATCACCAGCGACAAGGATGAATGAAGAAGAGCTGGGGAAATGGTTTAAAATGTACAAAATCACCCTTGATGCCTTGAGAATTAAAGACGTCCCCTCACGTATTTGGAAGTGTGATTTATCAGGACTACAAGACGACTTCTCCTCTCAGCAAAATGTCGGGGAAGGAGAAGAGCCCTGCTTTCAGATCAGAGCTGAGGAGGAAGAGGAAACTGCCACCACGGTACTAGCAGCATTCAATGCCAGTGGTGCATTTGCTCCTCCGCTTATCATTTTAAAAGAAAATGGGGTGAGAAGTGAGTGGTTGAACGAATCCATGGAAAACGTTTGCATTAGAGCGTCGAATAATGGCTGGATAACAGCAGAACTGTTTGTTGAGTGGGGCGAAATGTTTGTGGCACAGCTCCCAAAAGATGAAACCAGACCCCACCTTCTGCTCCTCGATGGCCAAAGCAGCCACGTATTCAACCTTGGCTTTTTCAATCTAATGAAACAAAACAACGTGGAAGTCATATGCTATCCTGCACTGCAACTGGAAAACAGAGGTCTGTTTAGGAGTCTCAAACACAACTGGTGTGAAGTGAGTCGCAAGTGGAGTCCGCAATGTGCAGGCATGAAGTTACCCAGAGCACATTATTGTTCTGTTTTCACGGAAGCGTGGAAGACAACTGCAACTGTGGAAAGAGCCCAGGATGGGTTCAGGACAACGGGGATGTTCCCATTGAATGAGTTGGCCTTCATTGAGCATGAGCCGCCCACTGAAGACGCTGCACATTGCAGCACAGAAAGCGGCTCTGGTGAGCCTTCAGCTGTTGAAGTGAATTCATTCAAAGACTTTGTGGTCATACAAAAATGTAGCAGGGCTACGAAGACACCCAGAGCCAAGACAATACCACATTTCCACAGAGACACAGAACACATTCTTTATAATGAACATTTAAATCAAAAACCATTTAAAACTACTTCCTGCAGGGGCTGCCTCGTAAAACACGGCGCAGATGATGATCCGAAAGCTTCTGAAGCATGGATCCGATGCAGCAACTGTAAGGCCTGCTACCATGAGTCTTGTGTAGACGAGGATGGGATATATGAATGGGTTTATGATGTAGATGGTGATGATCAATAAACTGAAGCATGGAAACCGAGCATGATTTTAGAACAAGAAAAAATTAATCACAGATTAGTGGTGTTAAAATAAAACTCTTGTCCTGTGAAAATTAGATATCAGCTTTTAAGACAGAATGACCCATCGAATGGACTGTGTCTCAGCCTTGTTTTCATTTGTTTATAATTAAATAAATTAAATTGACTAAGTATTGTACTAGTATTTGCAACCCTTCTTCCCTGTGATTGCTCAATTAGTTTGGTCCAGTCTATTTCTTCAACATATTTGTCATGGGAGCTGCTTTATTTGCCCTTTGCTAGGATCTTATTAGTCATGTCTTGGCCCCTCATGATGCGCACTGGTTTGCCCATGAGATCAGAACATTTCAGAGCCTCTAGGCCAAGGCATTTTCTGTATCACGGTGTTCAAAGGTTACACAACCATATCCACGAGACCTGTTGGTTATTGTATCTCTGCACACGTACACAGAATGTGGTCCAAATGGGTGGTATATTGTATGCAACACTCGTTCGGTCACATCTGGGTGCAAACTATTTACAAGCAATGATGACCCCTTGGTTGACCGATATCCTCACCTGAAAAACCAATCGTAGGATGCTGTCATTTCGATTGTCCTTAAAAGAAGATAGATTATTCTCAAAAAGCTCTTTACAGAGCACAACTGCTGTGTGGATGCCTCAGTCAGATCAAGCTAATCATATAAACTGACAGCTTTGCTCAGAATATTGACATCATCACAGGTCAGTATCATTCCTCAACATCAAAACAATTTAGGGTGATTTTAGTATCATAAATTATAGCAATATAAATTAAACCCTAATAAATAACATGCATAAATAAAAGGCTAAAATGTAATGGCTGGAAAAAAATCCTCCCCACATGGGAAATATATATTTGTTTAAGCACCTGTTGTTCCAACTCCAGCATATATGGGTTTTCATATTGGGATTTATTTTCCCAGTTTTGTAGAATTGTATTATTTGCCAGTGTGAACCATATACAAGCTTGTTTTATTCAGGGGCAGGTCAAGACTGAATGAGTGAATGAAAACGAGTGAGTGAATTTAGACAATAAGTGTGCCAAAGGGCTGCTACGTTTGCATAGTTTGTGCTTGCTGTTTAATAATCGTGAAACTAGGCAAACTGACAGCTCCAGTGGTAAGATTAAAAGTTGTATCTTTAACTCTGTCATGGAAACTATGTATAAACAATGTAATAATCAATTAAAAATTAATTTACACCTCTATGATATTACACTGTAGCCAGATCAACAGCTTGGAAAATGACTGGATGGATGATTTAGCCGCGGGCGCCATCTTCTGGCGAGACATGGGTTTGACATGACCTTCACAGTGCATGTATGACATCACTTTGTAGGCCAAAACAAGGAAACGATTTAGCATTTTAGCACTTTGTGTAGTGACAAATCGGGTCTTCTTTAGGACCCCAGGCGATCCCATATTGGTTCAAATTACTCTCTTTACCACCTGATTACTTATGATCTACGTTACTTTTCATCATGATGTCCATTTATGTCTGAATTAGTTGGCTTATATATAGCAAACAGATAAGCGATTGCCTGGTGGTAGCTTAGTTTATACACACATTTGCATTTACCTTACATAGCCTATAGGCTATTCCCAATCATCTTTAATGTAATTATATGTCTTAAATTAAGTGATAAACGTCCAAATATTTCAGTTATATATAAAACAAATTAATGATGTTCACTTTATAGGCTATTATTGTTACTTATTAATTAACAGTTAATCAAGAAATGACATCCAATTGGTTATGCACTAATGTGTTATCGTACACATTATGGTAGAGACCTATTTTAAATTAATATCATTTGTATATATAGGCTACTTAGGATAATCATTAACAGACAAGTTTGGGGAGACCCGATTTATGAAACCAGTTCACCAAATCAATGGGTTTTTGGTTAAATGGCTGAAATAAGGTATGTGGTGAACAAAAGCTCAAGACATGTTCACGATTTATCCGATATAAAATACATCAGTATTACCCCACTCTTGATTTTTTTAATCTAGTGTTGTGTCTTGAAAAAGGCGGTTGTTAAGTTTTTTTTTTATTAATTTGTGTATGCTTCAACAACAAACAAACGAGGTACATTATCAAATCTCTGAATATAACCGCTATTGTTCAGCCTTAGGTTGAGCATACAAAAACAGAAAAATCACAATAGAACAAACAAATAATTAAATAAAAATAAATACAAAATTAAATTAAATCAAAAGGGGCTTTTTAAATTAATCTAAATGTATCCAAAAGATAAATCAATTTAAGGGCTGTCTGTTTTTTAACAAATTTTAAAGATTTGCGCAAGAGTTCATTCATCCACTGATTTTAAAAAATTGGGTTTAGATTGAAACCAGAGCCGTTGAAAAACAGAGTTGCGACACTCCCATAGACCGCCATAGGAACTTTGGAATGCGGAAGTAACGCGTGTCGTGGAGCAGCCGATAGTTCCAGCACTGAACCCCATTCATTTTCAGTGTTTCCGAAGTACGCTCGCTGGTAAGTTCATGAAATGACTGTATTTTTTATATTTGAACGCATTAGCCGTGCTCTCATGAGTCTAGTCAGTAGTTTTAATTTATGTAGCCAACTTTAGTTGAATGATGTTTATTGGAAGATAATAGATAATTGCAGCTAGCTTACGTGACCAACACTTCACTAACGTTAGTCAGAGAGGTCATAGTTAAATGTGATGTTAACCCTATTTACTAGGGGTGTGCAAAAAAATCGATTCACATTTGAATCGCGATTCAATCTTTACCGATTCAGAATCGATTCATAGAATTCCAAAAATCGATTCATTTTTTTTATTTTTTTATGGCGTGCACGCAGGGCCGGATTAACCATTAGGGCAACTGGTCACTTGCCCAGGGGCACATGACATCTAAGGGGCCCTGCGCACCGTCAAATATTATGTTAGATCACGTTATAAACGCAGTCCTCACTTTCCTAATTATATGCATATTTTTGCAACCCATTCGATCAAAATATAATGTTAAATCGCGTCAAAAACAGCGTCTGTATTCCTGCGCAGTGAGCGAGAGCGAGCTATCATGTCGACTCGCGTCGCGTGACTTGACGCTCTGAAATTTGAAGTGATGGAGAAGCAGTTGCCTACGGTTGCCTAACATAAAGGTCTCGACTGTTTAGCGTTATATTTTGCCAACGAAGTCAAATTGAAACTGTGATATTGCTTCGTGCCGTTATAAAACAGCAAAATACTTTAAGTAGCCTAGGCATTCTGTTTGTGCTGCGTGATTTAAATAGAAGTGCGCGCTTTGCTCACGCGATCAGCATGGTGATCTGGTGTTTTCTCCAAAATGAAAGCTCAAGGGTTTATTTCTGGCAATTAAAGAAATTAGGACAAAAGTATTGTACTTTTCCTATACTGTGTAATGTAATGCAAAATACTTTTAGGCTACATTTATAGGAGGTATATGATTTTACGTCATAGGAATAATTATATAAATCATTATTATAATAATTGTTTGGCATCCTAAAACACCAGTGATAATGTAATGCAGACTGAGACTCTATATCATAACTAAAAAGATGTTTGAGCCCTCTTTAATGTCCAGGTAAGTCAATGCTTTTTCTTTGTTCAATGTGCACAGTTCATGGGTTAAAGCCGGTTGAAGCTCTTAATTGTGAGCTCTCAAAGTGCACCAGATTGATGCATTTAACCTTAAAATGTAAAAAAAATTCTTGCGGGGGAGCATGCCCCCGAACCCCCCTAGAGGGATAGAGTTCCACCCAACATAGTTTTATAAAATCCTATGGGAAACACAGATCATTTATGAAGTAATATGTACAAAAAAGTTCCTTTTAAGTCAGTAATACAGTTAATGCCAAATTAAAATGTCCTTGGACAAACTACATTTGGCCTGCCTAAGGGGGGGGCCTACAAGACATTGTGCCCAGGGCCCTCTGAATTCTTAATCCGGCCCTGCGTGCACGGGCGAAGTGGCAATCGGGTGAGTCGGGACTTTTACCGGTGGTTCGGTAGTGTTTCGAGGCTGCGAGGGCCGGTCTGATAAATAGTTACATTGCAAGTTCTTGCCGCCCGCTGGTCAAACTGTGCAGCCTCTCTGCTCAACCCGTAAATAAATGCATCGATCCGCAGATTATGTTTGAGTTCTTAATGGTCTGTAGATCTTTTGCCAAGCGTGTCAGAGGTTACGGGTTCTAAACCGCCCTCGTATAGTTTTCTCTCTCTCATCAAAACCGAATATGTTCTTCACGTTTGTGTGCATTTTATTTTGAGATTTCACCGGAATCACAACGGCGATATGAAGCGCGCCCGAGTGAAGACTGCGCGAGCCACAGAGAACACTGTATCCATGACACTGATAGCAGCGGCAACGAGCGCTGTCAGCGCTCAGCTTGATTTCAAAAACAACAGATCTCTTATTTAATAGCGAACTAAATGAATGTTCTGCTAGTTAACTGGAGATACCCGAAAAATTACGCCTATGAACGACTTCACTGGATCTAAACAAATCAATCTAACCATAGATGTTACCAGTAGCGGTGGCTTTTTAAAATCTATTTAAAATTATTTCGCAAGGGTTCTATGACATTAGTTTATATTTTTAGGAAGTTCAATGTGCCCAGTCGAGTTCACATTTCAACAGTCAGCCTGGTAGCTGAAGTAGGCCTAGTCCTTAAACCACATTTAGCATAATTGTTTGTTTGATCTGACTAGCACTTTAAAGCTAAATGTAAAAGCTTTTTATTTAAGTTTTATTTTAAACTTGAATTAAATGTATTTGAAAGCTGGCCAAAGCTTGGCACTTTGCACTTTTTAGTTGCAAAAGTTTTTATTTTTGTATTAAGACATAAAGTAATATCAAACTACATTTAATTTGTTTTGTTTTCTTTTAAATTGTGTCTACTACAATCAATCACATAGGAAAAAGTAAACTACATTTATATACTGCGAATCGTTTTTTGAATCGAGAATCGTTTTTGAATCGAAAATCGATTTTGAATCGAATCTTGAGACAAAAAATCGGTATCGAATCGAATTGTGACATTTTCTGATTCGTGCACCCCTACTATTTACATACATGAGGTGGTCAGAATATTAGAAATACATCTAAAGCAAATAAGTACAGCAGCACCCCCACAAATAATACCTCAATGCTAAAACGTGAAAATGAATTTCCACCTCTATGACAGTATAAAAAATCCTGAACATCATAGAAAAGCAGAATGTATGGCTGAGCTTTATATGGTATCATAATGCAATACAAATATAAAATTATATTTTCCCTAATTTGCACAATTTGTAAGATGAGCAAAATAATCATCCATCTTCTTCCATAATGGTGTTGTGTAAGAATAGCAATTTGAATAACAATAGTGGTTTGTATATAGATATAGATATTTTTGTTCTCATTTAATTTCAAATTATGTACAGGAGTAGAGTCAAAATAACAGAAATCATAAATGTCCAAGTAGGTATTGACCTAACAGTAGGTGTGTACTCTCAACCTCATGAAAATGTTTAGGAAACATAGGCTTTAAATGTGTATTTAATCTGTCCTTCAATGTATTAACTTTATCACCGTTTCTCTCCAACAGCAACAGGCTTTTCTTCAAGACCCGGTCTCCTCTGGGGCCTATAACACACTCTGCTTCTGGCAGGGGAATGCTCTCACACACAAATACAAGTAACTAGTATTACTTATTGCGTGAAGTTTGAATGCTTTTGTTATTTATCAGTGTATGGCTAAGCATTTGACTGATTCTCGATTCACCAGCAGGTCTCCAGGTCATCAGCTTCGGGGACAGAATGTAATGGCTATTGTGAACACTTGTATTCCTTTTCTGGCCGGCTTTCTGCCATCGTTCTCTCCCTGTAGGAAGTCGAACAAGTTTCTTTGAAGACAGAAGATTCAAGGAAAACTTACCTACCCTCTCCCTAGATATAATATATAATTAAATGTTTTGTTGAATGCAATTGGTTGCCTTGTATATTTTTTACTGTTGACCAAACTTCTTTCTTGATTTAAACTGAGCTTTAATTGATATTTGCTTGTTGTGCAGGTTTATGTGAATGTATTTTAACATAACATAAGGATGTTATTAATTATGACCATAGAAGCATAAGAAAAATATATACAGTAAATACTGGAAATGTATTATACCTTATGGGAGCAGTCCCCCTTCCCTCCAAAATTCAAAACACAAAAAAATAAATTTAATTCAAATGGCTTTATTGACATAAAAGTTTCAAGAACAATGTGTATATACACTACCAGTCAAAAGTTTTGGATCGGTAAGATTTTTAATGTTTTTAAAAGAAGTCTCTTCTGCTCACCAAAGTTGCATTTATTTGATTAGAAATACAAGAAAAAAACAGTAATATTGTGAAATATTATTGCAATTTAAAACAACTGTTTCTATGCGAGTATGTATATACATGTGTGTGTATATATATATATATATATACGGTATATATATAATTTATTATTATTATTATTAGTGCAATTTATTCATGTGATCAAAGCTGAATTTTCAGCATCATTACTCCAGTCTTCAGTTTCACATGATCATTCAGAAATCAGTATAATATGATGATTTGATGCTCAAGAAACATTTGTCATTATTATCCATGTTGAAAAAAGTTATTTACATTTTTATTTCAGGATTATATAATGCATAGAAAGTTCAAAAGAACAGCATTTATCTGAAATAGAAAGCTTTTGTAACATTAAACACTACCGTTCAAAATTTTGGGGTGAGTAGGAATTGCTATTTTATTTTTTGGGGGAAATAAATAAAATAAATCAATACTTTTATTCAGGATGAATTAAATTGATCAAAAGTTAAAGTAAAGACATTTATAATGTTACAAAAGATCCTATTTCAAATAAACACTTCTTTTGAACTTTCTATTCATAAAAAAATCCTGAAATAAATTGTACGCAACTGTTTTCAGCATTGATAATAATAATGAATGTTTTTTGAGCATCAAATCCACATATTAGAGTGATTTCTGAATGATCATGTGACACTGAAGACTGGAGTTATGATGCTGAAAATTCAGCTTTGATCACAAGAATAAATTAGATTTTAAAATATATTAAAATAGAAAATAGTTATTTTAAATTGTCTCTTTTTTTTAAATGTGTATTTTTAATCAAATATGCAGCTTTGGTAAGCAGAAGAGATGACTTATTTTAAAAACATTAAAAATCTTAGCCTACTGATTCAAAACATTGGTTGGTAGAGTATGCATACACACACACACAATATATATATATGTGTATTGTGTGTGTGTGTGTGTGTGTGTGGCTATACACATGTGCGTGTAACTGGAGAGATGGTTACTGAGTGAAACAACTATAAATACGATCTAACATTAACGTTATAGGATTAATTTTAGTATGGCTAATGTACCCCTTCATCCTTTCAAACCATTCATCAGAACACACACAAATACATGCATACTATGTACTGTGTACAGTATGCAAATGTATACTTAAATGAATCCCGTTAACAATAACGTTAATGTTATGAATTATTCCAGTCAGTATCAGTAACCATATCTCCATTTTCATTTCAACTGACCACACTTGTTAGCGTTAATGCCGTCTCTCCATCATATTTACAGAAATTTGCTGCAAATGGTCGTTGCTGTGCTGTAAATGTATTCTACGTTATGGGAGCACCCCATTTCCCTCCAACAATAAACACAAAAACGTATTAATGCCGTTTCTGCTAGTGATGTGACATTTGAACCGAGGCATCGGAGCTTGTGTCGAGAAAAAATGGGCGTGCCAGATGAAGCCGCGATTCGAGGCTTGTGTTGTTAACGTGAAAATCACGTGACTAATGACAAACGAGGCCTCGGTTTGTGTGCATACGTCATCGGTTCGGTCTGAGTGTCGCTTCTGGATAAAGGGGGTTCGAAACTCGCGCCACCTTGTGGCTGTTGCAGGAGTAGTAGAAGCAGGTGTAGTGTGTCTGAGTCAGAGTTAGAGAAATCTCATTGTTGTTATTGTGTCATATATGTGTTAGGGCTGTATATTATTACACTATATCAGGTTAGAATAATTGTTAATAATAATGAATAATTGTTATTATTAATTATTGTAGCTATATTATAGTCTTGTTATATTAATTAGATAAGATTATTTGGATTGCTTTGGATTTTTGGTAGCTTAGATTCTTGGATCTGGACTGGACTGCTTTTTAATTTGGATTGCCCTTTTGGATTTGTTTGCTTTTTATGACATCTTCCTTTTTCATGGTAATGGAGCCAGCAAGAAAGAGGAAATCCTCCCCTGTCTGGGCTCAACAGAAGCATCAGTATCTTCATTTATACCCGCTGGCACTGACATTTTATGTTCCCCTGCATCCTCTGTTCCTTGTGAAAGGATATTTTTCCAAGGCTGGTGAGGTTTTGTCCAAGAAGAGGAATTGTCTAGACCCCAACACTTCAAAAAATTCATTTTCTCAATAAAAATCTATTGCAATCCTTCCTCCATCCACCACAAACTGCAGTGTTTACTGCAGTTTACTTTATTACACTTCCTCGAGTCCCTCCACCATAAGCACTGCACTCAACACAGTCACTTTTGTTGTTCATACTGTCCCTATCCAATATTTTTTGGAATAATTAATTAACTGTGTGTGTGACAGTCTCTGTACAATGCAGACAGAGAAATATACACGTTTCATTTCATACCCAGGCAATGGAAAAATGTCTGCACAGATCTCTTTATTATTGCAAATGAAAGGTTACAGAGACATTAACTCATATTTAGAAGAAGATAAATAAATAAAACATTGCGGGAGGGGGGCGGGTCATTGGTTCAGAATGAATTAATTTGCCTGCAATTTCTTTGCACAATAGCTAGGTGTCACTAGTGAGCAATGCTGAATGAAGCTTCGAGTAATGAACCTTTGGTTGAAGCAATGGCCTGCGAGGTCTCAGTGGTTCAGGAAGCCTCATCTTGCCATCACTAGTTTCTGCTACTCCCCAGAAAAAATATGTTATTATATGCAAGCCATTTAAGTGTCAACGTAAAAATCAATGTACATTATGCGTCAATATTTACCGATAATTGCTGCAAATACAGCTGCTGCTGTCTGCCCCGCTTTAAAATCATTGGCAACGCGGATTTGTTTGGAACTATTGAGAGCTACATAAACCACGTGACCGCGTGGCGCGGCGAGATCAAAGTGTGTCGCAACTCTCATATTTAACGGCTCTGATTGAAACCATCTGGATTTATGAATGAAAAACATTCCAAAACATAACAAGAAATGAATAACAAAATCAAACTCTTTGTTTTCCAGACAAACACCAAACCTTATTAACTTCACCGTGAGGGGTCGGTTGCTATCAAGTGTTTTTTTTTCATGCACTAGGCTGTCGAGGAGAATAAACGTCATCACGCCGAACGAACAGGTAAACTCAGAGTCAATCCGCTTTAACAGCTCCTTATGTACGTTATGTTAATCTTTGAAAATGATCTTGATGGACAAAACGTGTAAGTATCATAAACTTTTGTTGATCACATAGCTTCTTTTTTTGTTGTTGCGTTAATCCAAGAGTTTATTTTATTTTTTATTTTTTTTGTCGTGTGAACCGGTGTGATGCAAACTGCCGGTTGAGTGTACATCGGTTGTAGTTGCAGTACATTATGGGATTGAATGAGTGCACTTGATAAAGTCCACTATATAGTATTGGTTCGGACACCAATACAAATGGCTGTCCTCTCAAATAATGTCCTATTTAAGGGCATAGGGAACGACTTTAGGACACAGCTCTGGATTATTATTATTAGTGCTTTTATTTTGAAATTCATCTCGGAGTGGGAAGTAAAATCCTGTTTCGTAGTCGTTTCCAACTTCACGTGATTCTGTTGACTGAGCGTTTCATTTCGTGCGACGTAAAGGACTTCAACCCGAAGTTTTGGATCGGGAAGAAGAAAAAGAAGAAAATGTAAGCACACAACACACTGCATTAGAATAATATATACAATTATATCACTTGTGTTTTAAGTACAGACTATAATAAACCCGGCATTGTCGTTCACATTTAGGCCCGTGGCTTGCTTTCTTTTTCTTAGTTTTTATCATCAACCTTCGTCCATGAGTTGCGTTTAACTTGTCTGTTTTCTTAGATTTAAGAACGTGCTTCATGTTCGCCTTAGTAAAGTTACACCAATTTGCGATTAATGTTATCTGATTGTCCTAAGTGAGATGAATGTTGTCGTATCAGTTAACCTCGGATTCACGCTCAGCGGACACTTATTTAAGGCTGTAAAAAATAACTTCGTGTTTATCTGATGTGGGATATTTCTTAAGCGTTGGAAGGTTCCTTTCCAATATTCTGCATTATATCCTTTCACGATGTCATTAGTTTGCATTTAATTACTGCACAGAATGCTCCAAAACGGAAGTTGCGATAGTGTTTTCTTTCCCTATTGTGACGTAGATCCGATTCAAACGGCTTATGTAGCAAGAAAAAGTGTAGGCTGAACTTGTTTGTTGTTGTTGTTGTTGTTGTTGTTGTTGTTGTTGTTGTTGTTTTTTGATAGTTGTAGTTTGTTGTTGCTGTGATGTCATGTAAGTGACAGCGCCAGTAAACGCGTAATCAAAGATGGGATTGCTAGATGGAGTGGACGTTAATTTGATTAAAGATTACGAAGGGCATTTTATAATTGAAGACTGCAGTTATGGTTGCTGAAAATTCAGCTTTGCCATATCACAGAAATAAATAACATTTAAAAATATAGTCAAATAGAAGAAGAAAAAAATATATACATAACTCAGTAAAGGCGAAACTTGCTACCATATTTGGCTTTGGGAAATGAACCCTATTGACATCCTGCCTATGTCCGATCCATGCAAAAAAAGTTTTTTTTTAGTAATGCAATTCTCTTAACATACAACAATTCCTCAATAATTACTTTAAATATGATGTAATGCATTATAAAAATACGC